TTTATGTCAAGAGCTCTCTCAGCCCCACCGACCTCACAGTGTGTCTGTTGTGGGGAGGGGAAGGGAAAGGAGTTTGTAAGCCACTCTGAGACTCCTTCGGGTAGTGAAGGGCGGGGGATAAATCCAATCTCTTCTTCTCTTCTTCATCATCATGAAGAAGGTTTATACCCCGCCCTTCACTTGGAGTCTCAGAGAGGCTTACAAACTCCTTTCCCTTCCCCTCCCCACAACAGACACCCTTGTGAGGTAGGTGGGGCTGAGAGAGCTCTTTCGAGGACTGCTCTTGAGAGAACAGCCCTGAGAGAACTTGTGACTGACCCAAGGTCACACCAGCCGCTGCATGTGGGAGGAGAAGGGGAATCAAACCCGGTTCTCCCAGATTAAGAGTCCGCACACTTAAGCACCACACCGGACTGGCTCTCATTTATTATATTTGATTTACTGGCTGCCCTTCCCTGCGAGCAGGGCTCAGGGCAGCTTGCGTCAAAGCTAAGCACAATACAATTGGATGAAAACGACATTAAAATACTTTTTTTAAAAAACAGTCAGGAAAAACAGCACTCAATCCAGGAGGGCGGTAATTCCCACCAGCCCCCTGCCGTGGAGGGGATATGCAGGAATAAAAAGGGAGGGGGGAGGGTGAGATCAAGGCCTGGCGGAACATCTCTGCCTTACAAGCCCTACGGACAGGTAGTAAATCCCACGGGGCATGGATGTTCTCTGGCAGAGAGTTCCACCAGGTGGGGGCCAGGGCCGAAAAGGCCCTGCGCCCAGTCGAGGACAGCCGGATCTCTCTCGGGGCGGGGACCACCAGGAGGTTCTTATTACTAGAGCGTCATGCTCTTCCAGGGACATCCTGAGATGCTCCAGCTGCTGGGCCCACCCTCTTCCTTCCGCCCAAACAGCCTCTCGGATTCTAGAGTTGCTTCCCCCTTCAACACCCCCCCCCACTCAGTCTGGGGCGCTGAGACAACCCTTTCCCCCATCTCCTCCCTTCAAATAAGGCACAGCACCCTCCTTGAGGCCTCCCATAAGAACATAAGAGACGCCAATGTTGGATCAGGCCAAAGGCCCATCCAGTCCAACACTCTGTGTCACACAGTGGCCAGAAATACCAGTGCCATCAGGAGGTCCAGCAGTGGGGCCAGGACATTAGAAGCCCTCCCACTGTTGACCCCCCCCCCAAGCACCAAGAAGACAGAGCATCACTTGCCCCAGAGCCCCTAGCTATACCTTGTGGCTAATAGCCACTGATGGACCTCTGCTCCATATGCTTATCTAATTCCCTTTTGAAGCCGTCCATGCTTGTAGCACCCACCACTTCCTGTGGCAGTGAATTCCATGTGTTAATCACTCTTTGGGTGAATAAGTACTTCCTTTTATCCGTTCTAACCCGACCGCTCAGCAATTTCATGGAGTGCCCACGGGTTCTTGTATTGTGAGAAAGGGAGAAAAGTACCTCTTTCTTTACCTGCTCTTTCCCATGCATAATCTTATAAACCTCGATCATGTCACCCCTTAGTCGTCTTTTCTCCAAGCTAAAGAGCCCTAAGCGCTTTAACCTTTCCTCATAGGGAAAGTGTTCCAACCCTTTTATCATTCGAGTTGCCCTTTTCTGCACTTTTTCCAAAGCTATAATATCCTTTTTAAGGTGTGGTGCCCAGAACTGCACACAGTATTCCAAATGAGGTCGCACCATTGATTTATATAGGGGCATTATGATATTGGCTGATCTGTTTTCAATACCCTTCCTAATCATCCCCAGCATAGCATTTGCCTTCTTTATTGCAGTCACACACTGTCTCGACATTTTCAGTGAGTTACCTACTACAACTCCAAGATCTCTCTCTTGATCAGTCTCTGCCAGTTCAGACCCCATCAGTGTGTATTTATATTTAGGATTTTTGGCTCCAATGTGCATCACCTTCCACTTGGCCACATTGAACCCGACCTCTGAGGGGATACCGGGGCCTTCTGAAGGAGTACCGCTTCTCTCTTCCCTGGCCCAAACGTTCCCTCTCCCTGAGACAACCTAACCACTACACCAAACTGGCTCTCCAAGTCACAGTTGGTAACCCTACCCCACCCAAAGAGTGACCACACCCACTCGATTGTGCGATTGCACCAAGCAAGGAGAGCGGCATTTCCTCTTACCTTGGCAGAAAACCTAGTCGACGACACTGAAAGAGAAAGAGGGAAGCCATGTAAGTGAGCAGCAGGGCACAGAGACGCAGGGCCAGACTAAGCAGGGGCAGGGCTTTCTTCGTGGTGGCACCTCCTCCATGGAATTGAGGGGAGTGAATGGTTAAAATTCTGAATGAGCTGAAGCAGGCTGTAACTGTGTAGAACAATGGCAGGATTATGGGCCTTCCTGAGAAGCAGAGGCAGAGTAACACACTTAGAGATAAGATGGAAAGGGGTGTGCGCGTAAAGAATTTGGATGGCAAGGAATAGCCTTGGCTCACATAAACACTAATCAACCACGCATGCCTAATAAACGAATGAATATTATCTAACCCACCTTATCATAGAATCACAGAATGTTAGAGTTGGAAGGGACCTTGCAGGTCACCTAGTCCAACCCCCTGCACGCTGCAGGAGCAGAGCCGAAAGAGAGCCCTACGGCATACCCGAAAGAGGGTCGTCCAGCCTCCGCTTGAAAACGTCCAGCGAAGGGGCCTCTCCACCACCTCCCGAGGCAGACTGTTCCACTGCTCAACCACTCTTACAGTTAGGACGTTTCTCCTGATATTTAGCTGGTATCAACTCCCTTGTAATTTCCACCCATTAGATCTAGTCTTGCAATCCGGAGCAAGAGAGAATAGATCCGCTCCATCTTCTACACGACAGCCCTTCAAATACTTGAAGACTGCACTCATGTGCGCCCTCTAAGCCTTCTCTTTCCCAGGCTAAACAGACCCAACTCTTTCAGCCTTTCCTCATAAGACTTGGATTCCACCCCTCTCACCATCCTGGTTGCCCTCTTCTGGACACGCTCGAGCTTGTCAACATCCTTCCTAAAATGTGGTGCCCAAACTGGACACAGGACTCCAGGCGAGGCCTGACCATAGCAGAATACAGTCATTAGCATATTAGGCCACACCCCCATGCCTTCCCTTGGCTTACCTGGGCAAGCCCCCCCCCTAGATGGGGAGGGAAGGGAAGGCAGCTTGCCCGGGCGCCCCGCGGCTGTGGGGAACTCGGGCAAGCTGGCCCTTGGACAGGCCGGGGAAGGCACAGGGAGGCATTGCCTATCTGATCCTTCCAGGCCTCCCCGGCCCGCACGTCTCAGTGTCGTTGAGGGGGGTCACTCTTCAGGTCTCCCCTCTGTAGCCACGCACACAGAGGTTTTGGCTGTAGTGGGCATGGCCAACTCTGAAGCCAGCCGGAACGCCGTTCCTGTGTGTTCCTGCCCAAAAATAGCCCTGTCAACATCCTTCCTAAAATGTGGTGCCCAAAACTAGACCACAGGACTCCAGGTGAGGCCTGACCATAGCAGAGTAGAGTGGAACTACCACCTCCCGTGATCTGGACACAATGCTTCTGTTAATGCATCCCAAGACTGCATTAGCTTTCTTCACAGCCACATCGCACTGCAGGCTCATGTTTAGCTTGTGATCAACCAGAACACCCAGATCCCTTTCACATGTGCTGCTGTCAAGCCAAGTCGCTTGTTGACTTAATGAGCTATTTTAAATGCACATACGATCCATGTCAAAGAATTGTATGTTTTATGGTGCGCTGAAGGCGGAACTGAAAGAGTCGTCAGCTCTGGATCCAGTAAAGGAGAAGGGGCAGGGCCTACCAGCCGGTGCGAATTCATATATGGAGGCTTGGAATGTTAATTTGAGTCCGTCAGCACTCCCTTTATGGCGCAATAAAGCAATCAAAAGATATTCCTGACTGACTGTTCTTTTCTGACTGGTTTGTGTTGCTCCCTGGAGGGGCCAGGGAGCCAGGCACACACAACCCTTTTTATGCTTCTAACAGAATGCCTTTCCCATTACTACTGGCACCTCCTTTGCTAAGTTTTAGGTGCCAGGTGAAAACCTTTCTACTCTCCTGGGATTTCAGCAGCTAGTCTATGTTAGCTGGTTCTCATCCTCATCTGGTTTTACTGCTGCCAAACAATTCCTTTCAACGCACCTCATGCCCTACTTTCCTCCCTAACGGGAACCCACAGGAGCTTATGGTCTTCTCTCCTCCTCCATTTTACCGTCCCAACAACAACCCTGTGAGGTAGGTGAGGAAGAGGGTGTGTGGTTGGCCTAAAGTTACCCAGCAAGCTTCCTTCCACAGCAAGGTAGGGATTCGAATCCGGGTCTCCCAGACTCTAGTCCGACACTCCAACTACTGTACCATGCTGGAACTCTTACATTTTATATTGTACAGAATCAAAGCATTTTATCCATCGTGTACTGGGGGGTGTATACATACGCACAAAAAGAAAAGCTGTATATTTATATATGAAATTTACAGCTTTTCTGCAGCCGAGTGATTCTGACGTGGCAACTGTCAGTTCTACCCAGAACCTACATATATATATATATAGTGGAGCTGCGGTGGCTCAAGTGGTTAAGATGCTGAACTGCAGGCTGTGGAAGGCCAGTAATTCAGCAGTTCGAGACCCGAGTGCTGCATGACGCAGTGAGCTTCCATCTCTAGTTCCAGCTCCTGCCAACCTAGCAGTTCGAAAGCAAGAAATTGCAAGTAGATAAACAGGTGCCACTTCAGTGGGAAGGGAACAGCGTTCCGTGCGCCTTGGTGTTTAGTCATGCCGGCCACATGACCACGGAAACGTCTTCGGACAGCGCTGGTTCTTCGGCTTTGAAACGGAGATGAGCACCGCAACCCTAGAGTCGGATTCGACTGGCTTTCGAGCAAGGGAACCTTTACCTTTTTTTATATATATATATAGTATATAAAAAG